CATGTATGATCTGAGCCGGAGAGTAGCACGGTGGCCTGAGCACCGTGGCGTAGATGAATGTTAACCGAAAATTGCAGTCAGACCTCGCATTCAGTCCAATGCGCTTTTGTATAGAGTGGAGATTCAGGCTGCAATAGTTCCTTCTTAGCGTGTCCTCTGGCATTCTCTTGTCTGTGCACTGTGAGCTGCGCGACATATTAGTGCCTGTGTTTACGGAGGGGGAGGGCTATGTTGTATACGTAGTATACGCAGAGGAGGCGAATGGGCAAGTTAGCAGTTGTGTCCATTCCCGGCACCAACTCACTAACCGGCCCGAACAGTGGCTGGGACACGTTAAAAGGAATACAGAGTGAGGTTTATGGCTCAGCACATTCTCCGCACTATAAACAACATGATGCACTTGAAGCTAGCACCATGACCTACCATTTTTGGCCCGGATGGTTGTTAAGTAATGGAATAACTGGGAACCCTGGGTGAGCCCAGCCATGTCATGTGTATTTGATAAGAGACGTTAGTTGATTTGTGACTGAACTCAACGTTTGAACACTAACATTTCTTTTCACAGTGCTCTTGGTATACACTGCACCACAAATTCGGATTTCGCCTAGAACTTACTGGCTATCACATGCCAAGGTCTGGGGTAGCACAGTTGCGAAATCTAAAAATACGAAATGCCTAGTTTTTGACTTAAATGGCTCCGTTCGTTTGTCTCCCTATTTTAAAGCATGATCTACCCTCGAACAGTCGAGATGAGTGCTTCTATAGTAGCCAACAGATGGCGGGAATCTAAAAGCTACCAAAATGCAAGTTTAAGTTGACCCAATTGTGAACGCCGCGAGTTTTTTCACAAATGGGTGAACTTAAATTAAGCAAATCTGACAAAACCTCCTAAAAGTGCAATGGTTCTTTGCGGCTGGCTCATGTTAGTGACACATTTGGACTAATTTCTGCAACATAGTAGATCCTCTGTAGCTGCTCTGATACTGGGTTCACTTATCAGCCAGTGTGGTTTCAGAAGAGATCGAAAAATACACTTAGAGGAGTAGTGGATTTGAAAATAAATCTGGCACGTGGTCGGCCGCTAGCCTGCGCGCCCGTCATGTGAGTCAGTCGACGTGAGGTTGGTGAGTGCTTTGGATGATGATTAAGCGACGCATGTTCTGACCACTTGGAAGCCGTAACAGAATTATTCCTAGCGTTGTGTAAGCGGCACAGGCAAATGAATTATAGGCGCTTGGGGCTCTACACGTTAACCGCTAGCCACGATTATGTGCTACCTTGCACATTTACTGGGTTACATTCAAGAAAACTGACATAGCCCGTACTTTACCATTTCCTCACTCCTAATTCAAAGCACTACAATATTGAAAGGAGTGGCATGTGCGCTTTTGCGCACACCATTACTCCTGTAACTATTTTTATGCTGCATACATTCAGATTCATAAACTGACGTGAAACAGATTTCATTAAAAGTTGGCATTCAAACGTGTAAGAAACATCTTTAAGTAAACAAAGACGAAGTCTGTTCACTCGCCGGAATATTTTTTTGGCCATACATTTCATTCTTGGTTAGTCAGTGTATATGAACATTTAATTGTTGTGGAGGTGATAAAGAAATCTTAAATTAAAAAAAACTTATATTTGAAAAGTCAGTTCCTGGCAAACTTATGTTTTTAGCAACTCATCATCAGGCCAAACATTTGCAGGGAAAATAAAAACTGTACATAACAGTTAAAACATGAATATGTAGAAAAATCAATGATGTCTAACATGGACGCTGATTGGCCACTGTGGACTATGTCAGTTTGCGCGAGTAGGCGAGATCAGCCTGTTAGTTAAGAGACCTCCGCTAGTTGGTAGGGGCGAAATGCTATCGCCACCTGGCGTCAGTTTAGGCCACGGAAGTATAAGGGCTTGTATCAGCGTCTTCTGACAACACAGTACCGGATTTGCTAGCCACATAGCTACTGCTTCCGCTGTCGCACACCTTGTCGATACGAATAGTCGAGTCAGTACCAATAAAGCCTTTCAGGTTGTAAACCGGACACCAGCTAAATTTTTCAAAGGCCTACGCCAACGGATGCTTGCAACGGCGAAAGCAATAGCTATACGGCTAGCAAACCCAGTGCTGTGTTCTCAGAAGACGCTGACACAAGTCCTTACACTTTCATGGCCTACACCGACGCCAGGTAGTGATAGCATTTCGCCCCTACCAACTAGCGGCAGTCTCTCAACCAACACGCTGGTCTCGCCTGCTTGCGCAAACTGACATAGTCCGCAGTGGCTAGTCCAGAAGTAACTGCACATGGCTCTGTATGGTGATGTCAGATCGATAAATCGATTGAATTAAGTTCTTATCTGAAGCTCAGGTGTCAATGAATCCGCAGCTTCTCTTTTCTCTTCGCGGGTAAAAAGTTAAACTCACGGCCTCTTTCGTAGGTGTAGACAGCCTCTTGTGGTATTCCATCACCTCGTTCCATAGCCAATTTACCTTCGCGTATTCGTGATCCGAGCGTGCGCGATCAATCTGCACTGTGTAGGTGCGAGGACTATTTGGGCGTGGGGCGCAATGCCTTACATACGACCGGTCACTAGGATGTAATCGCTCCTTAAAAGCACCATCAGTAGAAGACACCGTAGCCGGACTAAGCAATCACTTGGCAAACTTCACAGCCGTCACTTTTAGTGCGTAATGCTGTGACAGTCCCCAAATCCCACAGTCACTGGCACGATCGCTTCAATTCACCCACCGCACCCGTCAGTCACAGCCAATCAGCTGCCAGAAGTCATCAGGTTGTCAAGGCGTAAGAAACAGCAATCGAAAAGGATGGAAGCGGGTCAATTAAGGTGGTGCACCCTAATTAACTGTCAGTGAAGTCGGGGGTCGTTCGGGGTCACAAACAGCAATTAGTGTGGTGCCTTGTCCCCACGGTAGAGGGTCCTGCTAATCCTACCTCCTCATCCGCCCGGTTCGTCGTGAGTTCCCTTTCGCGTGCGGTTCTTACGTTTGGTTTGGCCTAGTTCTCTCCTTTGCTCACATGATGGCGTAAGACTTCATAGGCAGCGGGAAGGCCTAAACGCCTGTTGACGGCGTTGGCATCTGAGTTACATGCCTCAAGTGTCAGCCTTTCGTCTTATGAGTTTCTTCGGCCTACGTTGGTCGCTCCGTGAATATCGAAGTCGTGGCCAGTCTCTCTGATTTGTGCTGGAAGTTGCAAATTTGGGTCTAGTCTCCGAGCCGCAAGTTTGTGTTCGTGTAGGCGGGTCTGAAATTTTCGGCCTCTTTCTCCAAAGCAATTACA